GGTCCAACCCGTTACTAGCATGGGGTACCTAATAAAGTGGCCGGTGAGTGTATAGTAGCTGTATTGAGAGATCATCTGAGTCTTGGTTACTTTTATAACATATGAAGCAAGTCTGCACATTGTTCTCCAACCTTCCTCTTCACCAGCCCTTTTAACAGTCAACCATCCAAAGACGCTTGAATAGGCTGCATCGCTAAATCGACTTAAGGAAGTATTCTTCACCACATCTATAGATACATCCGAGTTGCTGCCATTCAACTCACTTCTTTACTATTTTGGTCAAAAAGCTTCTAATGAGTGTGATTAGGCACAGTCCATTCCAGGTCAGACTGTTCACTGTCTGGATCTCTGGCCTGCATATTTCTCAGTTGTAAATCCACATGCTGAGTGATGATCCTCTTCATTAGACAGTTCCCGAGGGTTGCTCCATTGCTACCTACTTCCAACTGTTAACAGCAATAGCTAGGTGATAATGTGAAGTGAATCTTCCATTTTCCATTTATACCGTTGGCTTTGATAAGGGTATAAGCATACCATTGTTAGAAAAGGGAGGTAGGAGGGTTCGAGTCCAGTGAGCAACCTGATGTCTCAATTGTCAATAGTACACGTTTGTCCTGGAGACCAGGAATCTGACACCACCTTTTCACAAATACAACCACTTCGAGTGGCGTCTCACCCTGAGTGATTGCCTACAAGACTCCAGGCTCTGACACCTCTTTATCAATATGGCATGGAAGCGGATCAAGAGAGGCCCGCCAGGCATGTGGCTGTGGAAGGATGGGGATTAAGCTTGTTAGATGGGAAGTGATGTGTTAACCTGACATTGACACGGTGTGCACGAAACAGGAATGACTGCTCAATGAATAGTTATTTTTTCTCTATATTTTATTTAAATAAGCACAACACTGTTCACATAGGTGTGTGAACAAAAGCATGTGAATTAATAATATAAAGAAATATTTCACAGCAGCCAATAGTCACATTGGATAGAACTAGAAATATCATTTTATGAAAAGAAGTCCCAAGTGGCTCCAATATACTTTGGAAATCCTCCTTCTGTCCCAAGCAAGTAAAAACATATTTTCTACATATTTTGTGGGAAACTTTGAGGAAATAATATCACAGTCACAGTCTTAAAATCATCTCAGAGGTTCCAAGTTGCCTGTGGGCTCACATTGCAAAATATGAGAAAGTCTTCGATTTTTTTTTCAAACATTTTAGCAGGATGGCGATTTAGCCTCTTATTAACTTATTATGGCCTATTTTAAAATAAAAGTGCATCTCTTGTATCTATACAGCTCTCCCATTTAAATCTCATGATATGTCTTAAAATTGATGGAATCAGCAATTTTTGACCTTTCAATTCGTAATTAATTAACTGCTAAGTAAAAAAAACTGAAAGAGACTAAGAGGTTTAGCAAATTTGTATCCAGTCTCCTCTAATGTTTTACAGAACCATAACTCACGACTGCAATTACAGCTGCAGGTATTTGAGGAGTCTTTCTATCAGCTTTACACATTTAGAAACATACCTTATTGCCCATTTCTTTCAAAAATCATAATGGGAATATCAGTGTTCTGCACTGACTAACATTGTCGCTTAAATATGGATCTCTGCAGCTCCTTGAAAGTAACCACCCTTTTCCTTTCACGTTACACTTTATGTATTACTTTGGGTTGGTATACCTTATAAGATCCCAATGAAATACTCTAAAATTCGTATTTTTAAATGGACAAAATGGTAAAATATCCCTAATGTGAGACCCTTTGCAGCATTAGTTCTGAATGTGTCTGTTCTATGTTAACATGACACTCAGGGAATCTGCTTTATACAGCTACAAATGTGCATCATGTATTCATCTAATTTACAATTAGGAATCTCAGATTCTGTGGAAACAAACAATCACATGAGACTGATGAATAGATTGATAGTTTTAGATATTTAACTAAAAGTCTATTTTTTTCTGGAAGGTTATCTACAGCCACACTCTGCCACCACCATCCCCTCATACTTGTGGTTGAAAGTGACCACATCGTTATCACGATAAAGAAGGGAGATTGGCTTCAGCTTTGTGGGGACACAGCAGGCAGCAGTTGTTTGTTCAGGGTGCTTCAGACTCAGCCGAGTCTGCACTATGGCATGTTTGGTGGGAGAAACCTCTGACGTCATGGGAGTGCTGCACACACCATTGCACTTGTATGCTTCATACCCCTGAGGCTGGATAATCCATGAGTCCCATCCGATGTCTTTAAATTCCACATAAAGAGGTGTCCGCCTGCAGGACTCGTGGTTGGCACTACGGCGGTTTCGTGGGGGTGTGTCGTAGATAAGGTTGGATTGCAGCTCCAAGACAGACTGTTCATCCAGGTCGTCCTGTTCCGGGTGGTCAGAGTTGCGATTTGCACTTTCAATGAGAGGTTGTTGGCTTGTAATCGTGTTATCAGGAAGGTCATTCTCATGTCTAATCATCTGACTTCTGAGCTGTTGTCGGTCTTCTTTTTGATCTCTTGTCGATTCATCTGAAAACACAATAATTACTGAATTGTGTTGCCCCTCCTTGCTCCTGTCAATATCAACCTCCATCAAACTTTTTCCACCTCCTATTTCTTGTTGCATGGCCATTTGCTGATCTGCCCCCAAGCTTTCAATGTGAACCTCCAGCCTATGAGCTGCGTACCCTGACTTCTGCCAGAGTGTAACCACATGAGTGAGGTCAAATGACACCCAGCTATTATCTCTGGCATGAATGTGCTTTGTCACCAGTTCCTCCACATCCTCCATCCCTGCCACCTCCTCTTTATCCCTCCCTCTCCCTTCTTTCCCCACCTCTTTTGTCCAAACTGCACCATCATGTATCTTGTAGATAGTCACCCTGCAGCTGAAGCCGGCATGTTTCTGGGCTTTACGTGCAAGCATGAAGAGTCGCAGTTCAGCTGTTGTTATATGCTCATGGTGTGGTACGGAGATGTTGAATAGAAGGGGATGTATCCGGACACCAGTGGTTCCAATATTTTGGAGGGAATAATCTGAAATTAAAAACAACACAAGAAGTATTTCAATGTTGTTTTAAAAGATTGAATCAAATTTATGTTTACAACAGTTCTAAAAGCTGGATTTACAGGACCTTTCTTTGATATCTGTCAATAAAGGTGGAGCATAATAAATCCTTGACAAACATGATCGCACTAAGTTCACCTATAATAGTTTTCTTACAGTGTATCAGATATAGTTTTTCAAAGAAGTCTGTACCTTCATTCTTGAAACTGCGCACAATGCTGGCAGATGGTACCGCAGTGCGGTCATTGGCAAATCGGTTGTAGAGCTCCAGCATGTACTCTGAAAGTGGCTCTTTCTGGGTGGTGGGCATCCTAGGCTGGGACCTTAACCTGGTGAGGTTCAGTGTGGACAGAAAGTGACTCAAAAAGTCCTGTGCACTGTGGAGAGGATTGTCGATCGCATCCATGCCAACTAATGTCCTGTGGTGAGTCTCGGCAGACTTGATTGGACTGCTGCAGCTCAAACCAGTTAATGCCACAATCACAATATTTATCAAGCCGAGGTTTGAAAAAAACAAAGTGGTCATTCTTGAGCAGCTGAAAGATTTAAATCCAAAGACTGAGCATTAGAAGAGAAAATGTAAATCTTCTGGAGACTTGCCTTCATCAAAGACAAGGAAGGTTGCTGTTGGGGCCAAAGTGAAAACAGCTTTGCCCTGGTTGATCTTTAAGTTGGTTGTGAGGGCAGGGCAGGGCTGGCCAATGTGCTCTGCTGACATGTTTGGAGATGTCACCAAGGCCCTGCTCTGCCCTCCTCTTTCTCACCACACAAGGGACTTATCACCATCCAACAACTCATTTAAATGTATCTCAACATGCAGGAAATTTTGAATAAAATTGTTCTCGCTGAACTGACTTTGAATTCAAACAACAGCTTATCCAAAAATAGAAAATCCCCTGCTTGGATTTAAGTAAAAATTTAATTTGGTTCCCCAATGCATGATGCAGTATCTAATAAACAATACAGTAGAGCTATATCTGTGTTGTTGTTTTTTTTATTTTAGATCCAAATAAACCTACCCTTATCATAATATAAAATGGAACCTAAAAGTGTTAGTTTAAACCTATATATAACCCTTCATTCTATTTGTCATGGTAAAGACTTCCCAGGTGAACATTTCAGGTTGGAGTGATTACAAATTCTGTAAAAATTCAAAAAATATCCACTGGACTTGGTTTTCAAGATTTGAAGACGTTTCGCCACCTCTCCAGGAAGCTTTCTCAATTCAAATGTCTGGATCCGCAGTGAGTTTGAGTCTTATATGCTTGTGAGTATACGCAGTGAGT